CACAATTTTTGTTTCCCTTTAGCCATAGATGCTTTGTGCCAAATTTGGTTGAAATTGGTGCAGTGGTTGCAGAGAAGAAGCTGAAAATGTTCAAATGTTAACACACGATGGACGACGGACGACGCACGACGACGGACGAAAACGGATAGCAATAGGTCACCTGAGTTTACTCAGGTGACCTAAAAAGTTATCAAACCAGGATCTGTTTTTTATCATACCGATTATTTGAAGGAATAATTACCAATTTTTACATTTTTTTCAAAGTGCGTAATATGGTCGATATTAACGCACTTTGAAAAAAAAAAAAATTTTTCAAAGTGCGTTAGCTTAGTCCCAAATTTTAACGCACTTTGAAAAATTTTTTCAAAGTGCGTTGTAACAGAGCATGCTCTTGCATATCTAATCAAATAATGAGATATATGATATATATGCAGGTGATGATGATATATTGCTGCATAAGTAAGGGAAGTTGACGATAGTAACGGTCATCATAGAGCTTGACGTGTAATACTGCTGTGAATTGATAAGTTGGATTTAAACTTCAGAATTTATTGTTTGTCTAAAAATATAAAGAATGACTGCACTTAAGGACGTTATATGGAACCTTTTCGGCTACCCGTTTTAAGCTTAACATTACAATATATCGCTAAATTATTCTATGATTAATGTGCAAGCATATGCTTTTGATATTTATTTCTAGAATTTTTCGCCGTGCATATTTCTATAATTACATACAACGCTATTGAAAAGAACATGTTTAAGCCATAAATTCCGGAAAATTGAACTGGACCGCTTTCGATTTTAAGGTCGCAGCAAAGGGGCGGAGACATTAGTCTAGTTCAACCAGACGCTCGGCTGTCTCCGTGAACTCCGACCAGCAGAGAGTCTGGTAAAGAATCACGTAAGCGTTTGTAACCGTCAGAGGGCGCTATCTTGTTTTCGTTTTAAAAATCCTTTTTGTAATCAAACGTTCAAGACGTTTCTTCTGCTTGATTTTGACTTTATATTAATAAACTGGTCTTTATTAGGGATACAAAAAGAGAAATTACTATATCAATCGAAGGAATGTGTATTACGCAGGTAGGGCTACACTACTTTCACTTTTGCTTTGTACAGAATATTTGCAAGACATAATAAAACACGCTTACCTATAACTGAAGGGCATTACCGTAAACAATTCCTCTTTAACGGTTTTAACTTTTAGACATATAACTTTCACATCTTTAAGTTATTTTTCTGTTGATTTATCATGTATTTGTTTAAATCTTGTAGGTGTGTTCTTTTCAGCCAATCAAAAACTTTACCAGAATTTCAGTAAGCCTCGTTTTGGCGTTACAAACGATATATCAAGTATCTTTACCAGACCCTCTGGGTGGTCGGAGATTTACGGAGACAGCCGATGGTCTGGTTGAACGAGACTACGGAGACATTTAAATCGCATGGAAAACGATCATAAGCACATAGTTTTCCGTAACTGATTTATATTACATATGAAAAAGGCGGAGAGGAGGGCTTTGTGTTCATTGTGTACAAAAAATAAATGATTTATAACCATGCCTATAATTTCATTAATTTGTATCCACGTAAGTAAGTAAAGTTAGTACAGAGCAGAACGTACATTAAGAGGAAAACAAAAAGTTCATAAAAATAAATGCAATTGTGATAAATATATGTCTGCATTTTGTACGCTTAGGTTGGTAGTGTCTGAATTATTGGTAGATGAAAATGACACTGAAATACATTTTTATTTTCTGAACATAATGGACTGTCTTAGCATAAATGAAAAATAATTTGCAGCCTGTCTATAGGATAATCTGAAATGAGTACACACAGTAAATCCATATATGACATGCCATTTGATTATTGGCAGAGTTAATTTTCAAAAGAGTTTTGATCGGTATTCAGAGTACAAAGGACATTTGCATTAAAGAAAATGAATTTCGGCTTCTACATTATCAAGCACTGCATAATTTTCTCCATCTAACGTTCTTTTAAAATTGGAATGCTTAAAATCTCACTGCTCATGTATTATTTGCTGTCAAGCAGAGAATTAACTACTAGTAAATCTTAAAATAATTATGTGTTCGAACCTAAAGTGTATTTAAAAACCAGAAGTCTCTGTCGAGACTGAAGCTCTACTGGTTTGAACTTATAGCAAAGGAAGAGAAAAGTACTTAAGCAGCTGGGATTTGAAACTAAATAGAAAAATGATCGTTGATAAAGTCTCTTTAGGTTCTTAGTGTAGTCTACTTGTGTGCCAAGTTATACTGAAATCAGACAAAAACTGTAGGAGGAGTAGCATTTTGAAACAATTTTACAGACATTTCTATTTTTAGTAACCATGGCAACACTGTTCATCGAAATTAAAATTTGATACACAGAATTATGTATCTTAGTATAGTCTAATTGTGTGTCAAGTTATATCGAAATAAGACCAAAACTGTAGGAGGAGTAGCATTTTGAAACAATTTTACAGATATTTCTATTTTTAGTAACCAAGGCAACATCGTTCATCGAAATCAAAAACCAATAAACAGAATTATGTATCTTAGTGTATTATACTTGTGTGCCAAGTTATACAGAAATCAAACCAAAACTGTAGGAGAAGTAGCATTTTGAAAGAATTTCACAGAAATTTCTATTTTTAGTAACCACGGCAACACCGTTCATCAAAATCAAAAAACAATACACAGAATTATGTATCTTAGTATATTCTACTTGTTTGCCAAGTAATACTGAAATCAGACCAAAACTGTAGGAGGAGTAGCATTTTGAAAGAATTTCACAGAAATTTCTATTTTTAGTAACCACGGCTTCACCGTTCATCGAAATCAAAAACCGATACACAGAATTATGTATCTTAGTGTAGTCTACTTGTGTGCCAAGTTATAATGAAATCAAACCAAAACTGTAGGAGGAGTAGCATTTTGAAAGAATTTCACAGAAATTTCTATTTTTAGTAACCACGGCAACATCGTTCATCAAAATCAAAAACCGATATATAGAATTATGTATCTTAATGTAGTCTACTTGTGTTCCAAGTTATACTGAAATCAGACCAAAACTGTAGGAGGAGTAGCATTTTGAAAGAATTTCACAAAAATTTCTATTTTTAGTAACCACGGCAACACCGTACGAAATCAGAAACCGATACACAGAATTATGTATCTTAGTGTAGTCTACTTGCGTGCCATGTTATACTAAAATCAGACCAAAACTGTAGGAGGAGTAGCATTTTGAAAGAATTTCACAAAAATTTCTATTTTTAGTAACCACGGCAACACCGTTCATCGAAATCAAAAACCGATATCACAGAATTATGTATCTTAGTGTAGTCTACTTGTGTTCCAAGTTATACTGAAATCAGACAGAAACTGTAGGAGGAGTAGCATTTTGAAAGAATTTGACAGAAATTTCTATTTTTAGTAACCACAGCAACACCGTTCATCGAAATCAAAAACCGATATACAGAATTATGTATCTTAGTGTAGTCTCTTTGTGTGCCAAGTTATATTGAAATTAGACCAAAACTGTAGGAGGAGTAGCATTTTGAAAAATTGTTTACAGACAGACGGACAACAGACGGACGGACGCCGGACGCATTACTATCGCATAAGCTCTTCTGGTCTCTGACCAGTAGAGCTAAAAATGACATTTTCACTTTATCTTAATAATCTTGAATAATAATTGTGGACTTATTTAATTAGTAACGGAAAAATAAAATAAAAAGTTAAGTTTTTTTTTTGGTGTGACTGTTGGCTCCTATCCTGACCTAAAACTGGTCGGGCTCCCGTTTTCAAAATTTCTGGATCCGCCACTGCTATATGTACAGCATGTAATCAGCAAAAAAAAAAACCTCTTTCCTTTTAAATACCTCGAACAAAAACACTATAGCAAAAGAAGTCAACGTAAACTTTAAAACGCCAATAAATTGTACGCAATGATCTTCAATGTTTTAAAAATGGAAGAACATGTAGATATAAAAAGAATTTTCCAACGACTGACACAATGAAAGCGTATGGAACACTTGAATGTCACGTGAGAAAAGTGATTATAATATCAAAGGGGTCACATGGGCTGACACTCGTATCCTGCTAATTTAGTAGCTAACTCAAGCGAAGTTTGTGTACATTTTTTTTTTAAATAGATATGAGCCGCAACTTGGCCAACATTGTCCTTTGGATATGTATAAGTTTTAGTCAAAATACACGTTCTGTGCAAATGAGAAAAATGGCCAAGTTGCGGCTCGATGTAAACAATGTCGTTGAAAACTGGTAAGCATACATATGAATAACAATAGAAATGAGACAAAACTGTTAGACCCCCGTCTCAAAAGCTGGTGTCGCTCGGCATTATTAAATACTTTCATGTAATATAATATACCAAAACCTGCTCTTAAGATATTGTTTAATACCTATAAAACATAAATTTATTGAATTTTGGATTTTTATTTTGCGCAAAACATCGGGATCCAACTCTCATAGCTTAAGTGCACTCATTCTTTCACAAATATAATTTAGAATAAATTTTGCTTGGAACAAACTGAATTTAACAAAGAATTTTCCTAGATTGACTCACTTACAAACTCACTCACATCTAATCTGTGACAACTCCGCCCACTGTAGTACTGAGCAGTCAATTAAGGATAGAAAATGCATGAACAGGGGAATCTGTATGACATTAATTTACAACGCTGAAATTAGGTAGAGCTATGTACAACAAATTCAAAGAACACAACCCTAAGATCTAACCATTAAGTTGATAAAAAATCTGAGTAAATGACATCGATATTGCGATACAGCAAGGAAATGTCAAGAATTAGATGTTGCTACCATGCTCAAATACCCTTTCAAAACATCAAATAAAACAATTAATCTTCAACTACAGATGTCAAACACGATCGAAAAATAATGGAACAATTCTATAAAAATAGATTGATAATTAATAATAGGTCATTTAGAAACCCTCATAACACATAATAATAACACTTGGTTTTTAGTTTAACTTTTCAACTGATAAAAATATCCAAATGTGAAACAGATGTGTCAGACTCTGTGGTAACTTTTATCTCAAGCTCACCAGGATATATCACATCGACATAAGAACAGTTGACAGTGGACAAAAAGCAATAGGTCACCTTAGTGAATCAGGTGACCTAACAATAACATCTGATTTGGTCTTGATGAAAAGTATCACTTGGGTATCAGCCCTTACAAAAACCCCTAGAGTGGTTTATAACATGTTTAATGTCAATCTCATTTATATATTCGCCAAACAAGATTACATATAACCTTTTTGCATAAAATTTACAATATGTTAGTAGATGATCACTACTTGAATAGTAAAAATACATATAAAAGTGTACATATTAGTAATTTTAAAGATATATAATTGTTGTTTCTACATGCAACAAATTAAACTTAAAATAATGCATGTGTTATTTTATAAAATTTAACAACTTCTTTAAAATCCAATTGAAAACTATAAAACAAACATTATTTGATGCATGAAACTGTCAAAACCTCATAAAAAGATTACTTAGTTACAAGTATTTGATGTTAATTAACATTCAATTAAAACTTTTTTCTCTCTCAAACAAATTAATTTCTTCCAATAAAGAATGAAAATCTCGCATGAATGGAAACGGCACATTGGATACACTATGTAACAATATCAATTTAATATTATATTGATTATAATAATATTTTGTTTTTGGAAATTTTTATGGTAAATGTTACATGTAATGAGAAAGACTCTCTAGTGTTATCCTTAAGTTAAACACATTTATAATTTATTCCATGTTTACCCTTTTATCTTTTGGATTTGCCTCGTTTGATATTTTGTTGATATCCCTCAAACATCACAATGGTTATGAGTTAGCATAATAAAGTATAATAAGATGGAGTTCTATGGAAAAACAGATAAAAACATCAGTTGTGAAGTATTGAACATGAGATAAAGAGAATCTCCCATGACTTGAAGATGGGTATTATTTTTTTAATACGTTGTGGCTCTGGGATAAAGAAAACCCACATAACTCATTGGATACAAATCACATCCAACTACAAATCATGGGAGATCCTATATAATTATCTCAAATAGGTTTCCATATATTATAATTAAAAAATATTATTAAAATAACATAGTCTACAACAATATATAGGTCTCTGAGTAGAATTCCATCTTTGTTTATCGTGTCTTTAGCACCAGTTTCTTAGTCAGCTGATCTATATACACAGGCACCTCTGGTGGTTCGATAATCCAGGTTATATCTTATCGTGTCTTTAGCACCAGTTTCTTGGTCAGCTGATCTATACACACAGGAACCTCTGGAGGTTCGATATTCCAGGGTTTGTTTCTCTCGTCAGATTTGTAATGCTCCTTCTCAATGAAGTCCTCTAGTGACCTATTGACATTGAGAATGAGATCGGTCAGTTCAAACTCTTCCCTGTGGTCAGTGAGAGCCGTGACCTCCTTGTAGAGGGCGTACACAAACTGACAGGCCGACTGACCGTCAGTACTTCCTATATGGTCAATGTTCTCTCCTAGTCCTGACTTTGTTTCTTTTTTCATTCTATCAGTATAACCACCTGCAAAAAAACCCCAATTATTTATTTGATTTCATTTGTTTAATTATAGAAGAATATTTACATGTGTATTTTGTATGTAAAGTGTTGAAATCTACAGCATTCAAAATGTTAACACCATAGCACGGACAGGGAAAAGAAAGCATGCATTTCGACACTACAAAAGTTGAACGCCATGGAAGTGCAATTTCATTAACAAAAATTAAAATATCACACTCAAATTCAACAGAAACCATTGCATTGGTGCTTCCATTAACTGTATCTTACAGTAAAGGTGCATAGACACAGCTTTAAATTTAATATTTTCTGTATAATATTACGACACATATTTTAATAGCATTTCACACAAAAATATATTAAAAATCTTATTTCATCTAAAAGTTATTAAAACTTCAAATTTTTAGACGGGTTTGATTGGCATGTCCTTACACTTTCACAGAATTTAATTTTATTCTTAACCCTTAGGAAAGTGGCAATCTTGTTGTGAATAAATGAAAAATATTAAACCAATAATCCAAAAAAATCCAGAGTAGAAATGCTCGAAAGCAAAACATACACACAGTGTATTGTCAGTCTGTGCAGTTGTGGTGAGCAGACTCTCACCATTGAACGCATCCGGTGAATCGTAAACATTAACAATAACAGAGCTCATGCCATGTTTACAAAAATTGTGTACATTTCATGGGTGTGATCAATCTGCAAAACGCTGTACACAACACTTAGCTCGGAATGACGATACTTGTGAAGGAGTTTTGCTTTCTAACATTTCTACTCTGAATATAATTATTTTTCTGGATTAAAGTTTTAATATTTTTCATTAATACACAACAAGATCACCACTTTTCCTAAGTATTAAGAATAAAAGTAAAATTTGTGAGATTGCAAGGCTGTGTCAACCAAATGCATCCAAAAATTTGAAGTTTCAATAACGTTTCGATGAAATAAAATTTCAATATATTTTTGTGTGAAATACTATTAAAATATATAAGTCGTGATATTATACAGAAAATATTAACTTCAAATCTATGTCCATGCACCTTTAAGGATATACATGTACAAGGAGTTTAAAATATAAAATTTAATCACATCTGCACTCAAGTCAAGGAGTTACAATGTAAATATATACATAAACAATGAATCAATATATTTAAAAAGATAACTGCAACCATGTGTGCAGACAAATTTTCAGAATGCACTAAATTCTGTATTTGAAGAGCAGTAACACCCCCTCCTCCCTAAATCTTACCTGAGACAATGGAATAATAATAATAGATAAGTATGTCAGCTTTTATAGGGTCCTCTGTATTGGGGAGGGGGGGGGGGGGGTTAGTAACAACCCACCCCACCCTCTCTAAATCTCACCAGAGACAATGGAGAATGGAGTGATAGATAAGTATGTCAGCTTCTATGGGGATCTTCTATGGGGATCCTCTGTACTTGGTGGGCAGTAACACACCCCTCTTCCCTAAATCTCACCTGAGACTATGGAATGATAGATAAGTATGTCAGCTTCTATGGGGGTCCTCTGTACTTGGTGGGCAGTAACACACCCCTCTTCCCTAAATCTTACCTGAGACAATGGAATGATAGATAAGTATGTCAGCTTCTATGGGGGTCCTCTGTATGGGGGGGGCTAGTAACAACCCACCCCACCCTCTCTAAATCTCACCTGAGACTATGGAATGATAGATAAGTATGTCAGCTTCTATGGGGGTCCTCTGTACTTGGTGGGCAGTAACACACCCCTCTTCCCTAAATCTCACCTGAGACTATGGAATGATAGATAAGTATGTCAGCTTCTATGGGGGTCCTCTGTATTTGGGGCTGTAGCCCTTCATCCTTAAGAAACAGGGATCTATCTTTCTGGTCCAGGTTAGGGTTACAGGTCTGTAGATAAAACACAAAGTTTGTCTCAAAAAAAATTATTCATAAGTAAAGTGAAGTTTCAAACCAAATGATTGCTTGGTTGATATTTAACATAACAGGTAGTCTTTTTTGTGCCCTTCTATATAATACACTATAGGTGCAAAATTTAAAATCTCTGATCTTTCTATCACCCTGAAAATGTTGGCTCAGCTTCCGGAGCAATAAAACTAAGATGATCTCACTTTAATCTAAATCTAACTTTTTGACTGTTTACTCTATAATTATGTTAAAGTGAGACTAAGATCAAACATGGCAAAAGTGAGTTTATTTCAGTTTTATGGCCATGGCGCCAGATCTGGCATTCACCACATGTCTGATAGTGTACATCCTTATATGCATTATCAATTCAATGCCAAGGTGGGCACCAAAAGACATAGTTATTTGAGAATGGACATGCTCCAAAAACCCTAAAGTGGTTGTATGTCCATATAATGTAGGTCTGAACCAGCACTAGGTGGAGTCTGTTGAATCAGTTACCATGACAATTAGTTGTGATGAAAGCCGTCATACAACCTCCACCTCTGAATGCTGTGTTTTACACAGGTGAATATAAAGAGGGGGGATAAGCAGTCCATTTTATGAGTGGGTTCTGTTGAGTATGATACTCAGAAGGAATCCACAAAATCATTATTTGACACAACATGTCACCTGATGCTAGATGGAAAATGTGATTATGATGAGCATTGAGGCCCATGGGCCAACAGTGTTTTACAATAGTCATCCTGCATGTATGTTTAAGTCCTTTTAATAATGATATACCCCAGACATCGTAAATCACCGGTTCTTTTAAAAGATGGCTTTCAGAATTTCCATATTCTCAAAAATCGGTCTCTACAGGAATACTAGTACAATTAAATATAATAAAGGAATATAATTAAAGTGTACCTGTATCAGGAAAACTTTTGGTTTGAGGATCAGATGTGGACAGTGGTTTCCTTTGAAGTAAAGCAGCAATTCATTTACGGAGAACTTTGGAGGTTGTTTGTTCCGTGGTTTGTAGCCTTCTATTGGATCATTGGGTAAATAGAAATACCCCGACTCCCCAAACGCCAGCACAACACACACAAAGATCTCCGAATCCTTTGTTATCTCTTTGTTACTGGCTAAAAAGAGATAAAATCAATATTTAAAAAAAACATATAGAACTAAATTGATGTCAAGCTAAATTTAACAACCAAAAAATACATATATAAAGATCTGCACTGTTGAAAATGTTGAGAGTAAAAAAAATTCAGAACAGCATACTAAAAATACAATATAACATATTCAAAATACAGTAACTACACAGATATTCTTATATCCAAATCCACAAACTCTTACCAATGTTTCTCAGTTCCTTTTTCAGGTTTTCTACAGAGTTCAAAGGATGACCTTCCTCCTCCGAATTCCTATCACTAATGACGTAGGGGACTGGATGAAATCCCGGTAATTTTTGGAACGTCTTTGTAAGTAGGTCAACATCCCTGGAGGCTGATGGTCGCTCATGGCTGAAGAGGCCAAAGTGAGTCTTTCTGATGTCCACAATTACAGGTTTACAGAGGTGACCTTTCCCACCAGGGGTTGTTTTATAGGTGCTGGACTCGTATCTTTCTTTGGAAATTTTTACCACGGCTGACGTTCCCAACATGTTATTAAAATCTTATCTGTTGACAAATAAAGAATTAAACATTAATTACTTTTTCTGTTTTTTTTTAACAGCACTCAGTTCAAAAATATTTTTTCATTTGTTGCCAGTAAAAGTCCTCTATATAAACATGCTAAGAAAGAAAAGTGACCTTGATATTTAAGTCAAAGAATCACAAGATTATCCCAAATTTTTAATGCTCCTACTTAGATACAAATGTTAAAGACAACAGAATTGACACGCCTGATTGTGTCTTAACAAAGCCTTCCTGTACATGTCTAGAAATATGGTTTAATATACATGTATTACAGACTCCATGTTTAGCAATATTCATCCAAGCAATCAGTACATACACAAGGTTTAATTGTTAAAAGCTGGCCCCAATATTTGGTCAAAGTGGCCAATGAACAATGATAATATATGTGCTAGCTAGCTAAAGTAATTTTATTTAACTGGAGGTGCATCCCTAGAGCCCTGAGATCACCAAATGATACCCAGCCTCCCATATATAATATCTGATCATGATTATAATGGTTAAGTCCATGTTTTGTTCTGGGAGATAAAAATAAGTGTCAGATCAAACTAAAATAGGAGGTCCACAATGGCATATGATTGTGATATTTTAACCTAGCTGATTAAGAATCTGGGTATCGATCATTCAATTTTACTCAGTGGTATAGGAAGAATTGTGGATAACAGACGGGTACTTACCATTCAAGATTATAAAAAGTGTCCATGTTTTTGCTATGGGAAACCCAAAATATGAATCCGATCAACAATCAAAATGTAAAATAGGAGATACCCAATTAAAGGTACTTGGACACAGATTTGAAGTTAATATTTTCTAATTTTTTTCTGTATAATATCACGAATTATATATTTAAATAGCATTTCACACAATAATTAATTAAAAATCTTATTTCATTTGAAAATTATTAAAACTTCAAATTTTTTGGCGGGTTTGATTGACACATCCTTGCACTTTCACAAATTTTAACCTTATTCTTAATCCTGAGGAAAAGTTGCAATTTTGATTTGTATTAATGAGAAATATTAAAACTTTTATCAAGAAAAATAATTTTATTCAGAGTAGAAATGTTAGAAAGCAAAACACCTTTACAAGTATCGTGATTCTGAACTAAGAGATGCGTACAGAGTTTAGCAAATCGAGTACACTCGTGTTATGAACACAGTTTTTGTAAACAGAGCTAGAGTTATGTTATTGTTTATATTTAGAATTCACCGGGTGTATTCAATCGTCACAGTCTGCTTACAACAACTGCACGGACTGACAATATATTGTGTGTTTGTTTTGCCTTTGAACATGTCTACTCTGAATTTTCTGGATTAAAGTATTAATATTTTTCATTTATACAAAACGAGATTGCCACTTTTCCTAAGGATTAAGAATAAAATTAAATTTGTGAGAGTGCAAGGATTAGATAGAATGTTCTATCGTTAAAATGATATTGTCCTACGGACCCGGTTTAACGATAGAATTCGTTCCGTGTATTCATAATGTAGCAAAAGAAACACGGGCGATAACTCGCATAGTGCATTTACTAGGAACAATCTAGAGAGTTCCGAATGTAAACATGGAGGTAATTTGAATCGAGAGAAAAACGCTGAGAAAATGAATTGGATTTTCGTATTTATATGGATTATTTTTTGGGATAAAAGGCATAAGCAATCTCAAAAAGGTTTGTTTTAATTATTTTGGTAGTTATTCCCAGTGCAAATCATTTCATATTCCTCAAAATCGTTTCGGAGCGGATCCGCTCCGATTTGCTACATTAGAAGTATATGGGACGTATTCTAACTGTGGTGAGGGCTTGTACCGAGACACAGTTAGATTATTCTAACTATGCAAGGATATGTCAATCAAACCCGCCGAAAAATTTAAAATTACAATATCTTTTAAATGAAATATGATTTTTAATTAATTTTTGTGTAAAATGCTATTAAAATACATAAGTCGTAATATTATAGAAAAATAATAACTTCAAAACTGTGTCCAAGTACCTTTAATGGCATTATCCAACAAGTTAATGAAGTTATCTATGAAAGTCTCATTAAATACAGATGGGTGTACAGCTAGATGGACGTATACCCCCACCACTTTACTATACTCTCCTGTTTTTCAAGTGGGGTAGGGGGAAGGGTGTTGTGAATATAGCATAATGTCAGACAAATTGTGATAAAGTTCTACTTAGACTAGTTCTAACACAAAAATTATGACAAAACCTTTTCTTTATGTCTTTGTTTCAAATTATTTAAAAGATATTACCCTAGAAATACCGTTAGATTCTACAAATGTGTAATGTGTCTACCTGTCTTGAGTCTGTTTACAAACAAATCTCTGCTATGTCCCATGAACAGTTAATTGCCCAAGACTTTCGAAATACGCAGTGTTCAGAGACTTTTAAATTACACAAATTTATATAATAATCGTCATATTTCAACCTTTAAATATCAATATTCCTTAAGTTAATGCTACATGATGATCTATGGCCATGATGATATTTCAACTCTAAGTTTCCACTTTCGTTTTCGCACGCGTTTGATCTTCTGTTTTCGTTTCATTTTAGTTTTAGTTCCATAAGAACAAATATTGTCAAGTTATTCTTATACTTACAGTTTTAATATAATTGAAGACTATATATGTCAATGGATCATAAAAATATACAATAAAAACTTATAAATGAAGTTTTTACTTTCGCTTTAAGTATTTTTGGCGCTAAAAGTCTTAATCATTGAAACGCTTTTTCAGATGATGGTGAGAATGGATTATTGGGCGCTTAATTAACGTTGAATGGAAAACATGGACTGCGATACTGATGAAGATGTTTTGTTTGAGGTATGTTTCATTTTCGCACATTTCCTGGAAAGTTTAGTGCATTATTAAAGTTGCATAGCTTTCAAGAAGCAAGTGCTCAATCACCAGTCAATCGCTATATGCAGCACATTGCCACAAAACTATTCTGTCTTGTCTTCTGTTCATCCACCAATCATGTTCATTATCAGGTCTGGTAGAGTCACTAGATTTAGCTACATAGCTTGAATTACCCACATAGCTTTATTTACCTTCCTGTGGAAGCTTTATTTAATTTTAAAAAATAACCCCGTTTGAATCAGCTAAAAAGAAGCCCTTAAAATCACAGGTCCAGCTGATACTCTGAAAAAATTAAAATCTTGATTTATTTTAAGCATATTTAGTTATTATTTTTTTCAGAATTCCCCTTTACATCAGCATCTTCTAGAGACAGGAATAGAGAACCTGATCACAGAGAAAACGCTAGCGAGCAGTACAGAGAGGGATGGGAAAAATGGGAGAAATGTACTCACATCGCCAAGCCAAGCGGTGAATTGATTCAATATACATGATTTAAAGAATACTTTCTAAATGAGTGCAATATGAAATGAATTTATCCATCGGAAATTCAATATTTTTAATTTCAATTCATTTTTCTTTTCAGAGGAAATCTGATGTGTTAAATAAATGCATGAAACATTTCCTAAATCTTCTCACACTCTTGTTGGGAATAAACAGAGTAAAAGAGGATGTTAATCAAGTTGTAAGTAAATTAAATGGTAATACAACTACTTACTAATAGCATCATAAGCATTTTTGCAAAGAAAAGGTCACAGATTTCAACATGTTTTGATGCTGAATGATAAATTACAAAATGAATTCATATATGATGAACAATTTTACACCATTTTAACAATGTAATATCCAAAACATTCTTCCTTTTCTCTCACAATTGAAATATACCTGGAGCATCATCATTCGATCTTGTTGTTATACAGAAACTGTTCTACAAGCGGAGAATCTTGGACGCTGCTCTGACTTATGAGATTTTGGAGGAGGGGGATCGGAGTTACCTGGAACATTTCTCTGGACTGAAGCAGACAGCTGATTCGGGGAAACAGGACCCAGCTCTGACATCTAAAATGTTTGTATCTGTATATATCACACATACAGTAAAACTTGTTTATACCAAAGTCCTGGGAATCTGTGAATTAACCTCAGACACTATTTCAGCTAATTCACAAAAATTAATATTTGTTTACACTTTACAAGTTTTACTTTACTTGAATAGCAAAACTGTGTTTTTATAAGTTTCAGATGTAAATTTTTTTACAGATATTGAAATTTTTTAAAAATTTAATTATCAGATATACTTTCAAAATACCATATTTTGATAAAAAAAAATTTATCTTCATGTCAACTTTAACAAAATTTGGGAACAAATCAGTCAACATTGTTTTGATAGGGTAATATCAAAATTATGTTCAAAACCAAAATCATATGAGGTAAATAGAACATCTACACTGGTCTATGATTGTGTGTTTTCATATTATTTTGCTTTGTCCAATTTCCATCTCGTTGAAATGGTGTACATTTGACTGGCAGCCTCATGAATAAGCACCATTTCAACTCATACAATCAATAATATACAATACTGATTTTTTCCCTATATTAGACCTTTTATTATCTTTGCAGAATACTGTAAAATCACTTATTTTTGAGGTGTCAAAATTTTGGTTGGATGAAATAATATGGGTTCATGGCCAGCCATGGGGATATAATTTCATGGATGAAGAACTGTTAAGTAGTTATGTATGTGACAATTTACATTCCATAGTGGACATGAATTCATGGGTCTTCACATCTCAAAAACAAAGAAAAAAAAAAAAAACGCGAAAATGAGTGATTTCACAGTTTGATTGTATTTTGCTTAACCAAGTACTTTATTTTTGGTAGTAAAATATCAGTATCTATTTATTTTTCCAGAAGCATTATGCTGTGCATCCCTCTTTTGTCGTCGTACTTCTATGGACGATGGGCATGGCCCGATTCTTCCTTTCAATACACACACATCACAGACGCCCTGTCAGTCGTGATCGCTGTGTACATCCTGTATCTGACTGGGAAGGCCCTGTACCTGGCGTGGTATAAGTGGGCTCTAGAGAGACTGGCCCGGGGGGTGACAGAGATGTTAACCTGCGGGGAGGAGTTCTTCAGGGGGACAGGGAGGTGTCTGAGGCTGATACAGGAATCAGAACTCGTGGCCCGGGGCTTCACACTGTAAGATAATTCACTGTATTGTCCTCACACAATGATTATCATTTCACTATATTATGGGATAAATTTATAATTTTACATTTCATCTTAGGGAGTAAAGATTTTTAAAGACTTCTGGTATAATTGAACTATACTGTCTTAACTCTAATAGGGGTGGGGGGTTGACTAATGTAATGTGTTTAGAAAACAATTGTCTTTTGATCCAGGTAATTCTTCAGATGATGGGGGAATTCAAAGATCTTTGAAAATACTTGGATGTTTGTGCTAAGAAAAGCACAATTAGTTATAATTAGTTATTAATAATTAGTTATATCCTATAAGAAATTCATTAAATTTATTAAACTATGGATTCAAAATGACTTTGCTACATCCATGAATTCACTATATCCGTGTTCGTGCTAAACAAGTTTTACTATACTGTAAATCACTTTTTATTGGCAAGAACTTTATTTTCGCGTAATTACGCAGGACAGTGTGCTCACGAAAATTTAATTCTCGCGTAAAATAGCATTCCTTAAGATTATACAGAGCAATTTCACAATTCGTGAAAATTTTGTCTCGCTAATCAAGAGTCAATGACTACCTCATGAAAATGAGGTGTCGGGAAAATTTAGTGATTTACAGTACTTGAGTACCTAGTAAATATATTCCATTTTAAGTCTGTGTTATTTTTAGGGTGAGCCAGAGAAGTCCTCTGTGTAGACTTGAACAGAATGGAATGCTGGGATACCAAAGACAGTGTCCGCAACTGAGACGGCAGCTGTTTATCATGTGTAGAGACTGTATGATAGCTAGTAAAGATTGGACCGGTCAGTTGATCAGTCAGTAAGTCACGTCAGATCACCTGACTCTTTATATGATAACATTTTACAAACACCTTTTATTGCTAGATCCCCTCCTATAGATCAAAACATTTTATAGACATCCTTTACTACCAGCCCTCCTGACTTTTTAGGTCACCTGAGTAAACTCAGGTGACCTATTGCTATCCGTTTTCGTCTGTCGTCGTTCGTCGTACGTCGTACGTCGTACGTCGTTCGTAAACTTTTGAACATTTTCAGCTTCTTCTCTGCAACCACTGAACCAATTTCAACCAAATTTGGTATACAGCATCTATGGGTGAAGGGGAACAAAAATTGTGAATTTCATGATCCCTGCCCCCCTGGGGCCTGAGGGGTGGGGCCAAAACCACTAAAATTAATGCAATCTTTAAAAATCTTCTTCTTTATTCCTGGACATCAAGTAGTCAAACTGTTGGTATGAATTTAATCAGCATTGAGTCCTCTACCAAAATTGTGAAATTCATGGCCCTGGGGTCAGGGGTTCTAGTGCTAGGGTGGGGCTAAATAAGTATATAGTGAAAATGCATTATTTCTTAGAAAATCTTTTTCTCTGCTCCTTGGTATTAAATAAACCAACTAAGTAGATAGTTATGATGAGCAAGAGTGCCTCTACCAAAATTGTGAATTTTATGGCCCCAGGGTCAGGGGTTCTGGTGTTAGGGCGAGGCTCTATTGATTATATACAGTGAAAATACATGATTTCTTTGAAAATATTTTTCTCTGCCCCTGGGTATTAAATAAACTAACTAAGTGCATAGTTATGATCAGCAAGAGTGCCTCTATCAAAATTATGAATTTTATGGCCCCAGGGTTAAGGGTTCTGGTGGGGGGGGGCTCTATAGATTATATAGTAAAAATACATGAATTCTTTGAAAATCTTCTCCTCTGCTCCTAGATATTGAATAAACTAACTAAGTGCATAGTTATGATGAGCAAGAGTGCCTCTACCAAAATTGTGAATTTTATGGTTCCAGGGTCAAGGGTTCTGGTGTTGGGGGGGGGGGAGGGGCTCTATAGATTATATTGTAAAAATACATGAATTCTTTGAAAATCTTCTTCTCTTCTCCTAGATATTGAATAAACTAACAAAGTGCATAGTTAAGATGAGCAAGAGTGCTTTTACCAAAATTGTGAATTTTATGGTCCCAGGGTCGGGTTCTGGTGTTAGGGCGGGGCTCTATAGATTATATAGTAAAAATACATGAATTCTTTGAAAATCTTCTTCTCTGCTCCTAGGAATTAGATAAACTAACGAAGTGCATGATGAGCAAGAGTGCTTTTACCAAAATTGTGAATTTTATGGTCCCAGGGTCAGGGGTTCTGGTGTGTGTGTGTGGGGGGGGGGCTCTATTGATTATATAGTGAAAATACATTAAATCTTTGAAAATTTTCTTCTCTGTCTCTGGGTATGAAGCAGAGGAACTACCTATATAGTTATGATGAGCAAGGGTCCTAATCTTGCAGAATTGTGAATTTCAAGGCCCCAGGGTCAGGGGTGGGGGTGGGGCTCTACTTATACTGAAAATGAATTAATTGTTTGAAATCTGCTTCTTTGTATTTATAAAACATTTATTTATTTTTTGATAGGCAATTTTAAGGGTGCCTTTTTAAAATTTGTGCAATGTGTGGACCTCTACTGATTATTGCTGAATATTACTGATTAGTTGGAATGAATTTTTGTTCCCCTACCTTGCGTATGGGTATTCAGTACCCCTGCGAGGTGATCATGAATAATTCATGAATTTCCTTGAATTTTTCATGAATTTTATTCATGAATTTTATTCATGAAATGTTCATGAAACGTTCATGAAGATCCTATGAACTTATTATTGAGCATTTTCAAATCAATAAACCAATTTTAAGCTAAGCAACTGCTAAGTGTATTGTTATGATGATCAGTGGTGCCTCTTTCAAAATTGTGAATGCCATATAGCATCTGGCTTAAAACATGAATCAAATTCAGTAACTGGAAAGTTGTTGCAGAATGCTCAGGTGACCTATAAGGCCCGTGGGCCTCTTGTTATGATAAACATTTTACAGACACCCTTTACGGTTACCACTTGATGCACCTGACTCAATATTTTGATTATATTTTACAGACACCCTTTACCAGCTGACTCTATATTTTGATTATATTTCACAGACACCCTTTACCAGCTGATCACTCCATTAATTTCCTGGCCCACATTCCTTTAGAGGAGTATGGACCCTGTCTGCAGGTTGAGGGAGATAACTCCGTTTCCCGGTCACGCCTGGAGGAGGTGACAGATGGATTCTCTATATCAGCCATCAAGGTGTGTAGAGGTTTAGACACTATAAGATACTAACGGGATTTTTGTACTTTTTCTAAATACTACCAAGGGCAATAAGTACAAAAAAAACAACATACATGTATTATCATTAATGTAGGGTCAGTTTAGTACAATGTTTAAGTGCCAAGCCATTCTAAATTCCAGTCGATGAGTTTACACACAGGGGAGGGGGGAGCATCTCGTTGAGCTTTCTCATGGTAGGGCTAATGTTAGTAAAAAGGAGATTAAGAAATAATAACAAGAAATGCTCAAGAATAATAAGACGTGGCACCAAGACCTGAGAACTAAGTCAAAATTTTGATTTAAGTCTGTTCTCAGTTTATGGTTTTGGGGCCTGATAGGTGACTGCAGGTTTACTGTTCAAGCTTAATGCTCTGTTCAATGATGAAAAAGCTCTACTTGTTTTGTTGGTGTTTTACAATTTTTACGTTCCTCTATTCATGACAGGGAATTAATCATGTCTGTAGGCTGCAGTACTCGGAGTTCTGTAGATGTGTCGTTCTACGTGTACTTCAGGCTGTAGGTAGGTCTACACACTTCATCAGGTTATTAATATTTATAGTCCATCAAAGCTGCATATCATTTCATTTATCTCAGTTTTATAACATCAAAAAATATAAATGTATGGACCAAAAGTCATTAAATGTAATATTTATGATGGGGGTTACTTGTACTTGAAAAAATTCAGATTCACCAAGTAGCAGTGTTGCCCCAGAAACAGGAGGGATTCTTGAGAAAGTCTGGGGATGGATCAAAGAATTGGAGACCCTTCACAGTTACTACAGCAGTGTTACAAGTCTGTCAGACACGCTACCTCAAAAATCAGACCTCAGTCAAATGAATGACCTTGACATAGCAGTGCACAGCCTTGACCTTCATTTACAGGCAGCCTTACTGAGGTATTAATGAATGCAAGTCAGGTACAGTTAATTCTCGATAAACCGCCACCTTTTGTAATTTAGAAATCATGGCGGTATAATGAATTTGGCGATGAATTGAATTTCCCATCGTTTAGGAAACCAGAAGTAGAGTTACCGTTCTTAGAAATACAATTTAGTGTTTCTATTCTCATTATTACATGTACATGTACATATTAAAACATATTTCTAAGTTTTAAAATACTTCAAGTAATTTTTTATGTACAATTTCGCTAAAACAAAATGTGCAGTTATGAAATAAAGACAAGCACATGTGGATGCATGTAAATCTGCACGACTGATATTGAAAAAAAAAAAATGCTGGGTCGATCGTCGTGATATATTGCCGATAATATGTAAAATGAATTCTTGAATAAATTCATTGTTTAAGGCATCATTGTTAATAAAACGTTCACAATTTATACCGTATAATTATTTTTTAAGTAAATTTTGCATTGTTTAAAGCAGAGATCATCAAAATAATATCGTTATCTTGTTCTTAAACAACGACCGCCTTCGTGGCAAAGCCGTCACTAAATGATTTTTATTAAAGAGAAAACAAAATTATCATAACAGTTCATGTTAAAATCATTGTTTATTTAATTCTTATTTAATTATTTAATTGCATGTACGTTGCCTGGCTTTGCATGCTTTACAACAGGGATAGCGTCAACCAATTAGCCGCGCTTCACTGACCACATGCACCTGTGGCGGTATATCGAGATAATTGACACTAAATGGACGTTTGTTGTGAAAACAGGGTGGCGGATGGCGGTATGCGAATTTGGCGTTATAAAGAGAATTTTATATAGCAGGAAAAACGTTCTTGGCAAATCATGGCGGTATAGCGAAAATGGCGATGAATCGAATGGCGATAATTCGAGAATTGACTGTATTTATACACTGGTGTGATTACATGTATTTTTTTTCTGGTTCAATATTGCTTAATCCCCCCCCCCCCCCCCCAAGTAAATGAAATAAAGTAATGATGAGAAACTACATCAATCTCCAGAAACTCTGTTGACAAAATTTAAAGCAAATTAAATTATGTTGTAATTTTTTTTTTGATTGACTCCTCAGGGTCAGGAAACTGTCAGTCCTTTTAAAGCATTCAGCCAATCAGAATACAGAGATTAAACAAGACAACCAATCACAGGAGGTCGTCTGGGATCAAATCAAACAGGAACTACTGGCTTGCAAAGGATGCTGGGAAGAAGGATTGGAACGACTGAACAAGTTGTACAAAAACCAGCCACGCCAGGGTATGTACTGTACAAAAGATGTCAGAGGTTCTTGTACATGATTTTCCCTTTCAAATTAATACTTTGTGCCTACATAAGATTGTCTCTTTATACATTGTGTTTTGTTGACTAGCAGAAAAGACAGAAGAGGTTCCCCCTCAGACAGAGAATACTGAGACCCCCGTCCCTATCCCCCCAGAGGACCTGTTTAACACCAGTCCCCCAATCATAGAGGACGAGGTAAAAATGACAGGGAGAAAAGGGCAGTATTTTTAGCTCAGGAAAAAGCTGTACTTTATGAAAATTGTGTGACTATCCATTTCAACTGAATTGCTTCAAAGTTCATAGATCACACATTTATGTTATGGAGTACAGCTAGCTGCAGAACTGAAGTGTAAGTTATGGTTATATATTAGTCTTTGATATAATGCCACAGGTCATGTAATGCAAATTAAGTGCAATTTATGGCCTAAGATTTTCTCCATACCTTTGCGGAGAATTTGTTCACTTCCCAGCTTTGGTCAATAAAGTAATTTTCACTTCTCAATTCTAGACATATTTTTTAATCAAGTTGAACCTGTATGTTTTATCCACCTTCGACTTTTAAACCTTTATTGTTGTCTTTATAGATGAATAAACTCACTTTAATTTTCCTACCATAAGAAAATAATTCAAAAAGGGCAAGTTGGGATATCCTTGGTGAAGATACATGTACTTAAGTTCAACTGTATAACATTTTCTCTTTTCATTTCACAAAATGATTTTTACAAAAGCATTTGATGTTCGACTGTTTTGGAAAATGAAAATATATACATCATTCATGTTTTAGGTGTTTGAAGCCTACATTGATGAGGAAACGGAAAATGACCCAGATTACAGTTGGGACGAGTATCTCACACCCGAAGACAAGGTAATTAATTGTCTACTGTGTTAATAAAATGACCCAGATTACAGCTGGGACGAGTATCTCACACCTTAAGACAAGGTAACTAATTGTCTACCGTGTCAATAAAATGACCCTGATTACAGCTGGGACAAGTATCTCACACCAGAAGAAAAGGTAGATACATGTACTAATATGACTGTGAAATTTATTTTATGTTTATTAACTCAGGTTGAAATGATGAATACCCAGTGCACATGTACTGGTTGCCGTGTAAAAACTCGTTTAGCATTGTGTCATTGTAGGAATTAAATGGTATAAGATGGTTATGTTTTAATGAATCACACCAAGATAATTGTAAAAGAATTAAATATTTAAATCATCCTGGTTATTTCAGGAAAAGAAGAGGCGAGAGAAACAGGAAGCCCTGCGATTACTGACGGAATTGAAGTCGGTGATTTCTGTGAGAGCTCAGGAGATGGGGAGGAGAGAGAAGATCGCACAGGAGAGAAAGTACGGCCACACGACTTCAGAGAATCAGAGTGTGAAACAAAGAGATCTGACAACAGAGGACCAAGAGAGAAAGTACAGCCACACGACCTCAGAGGATCAGAGCGCAGAGAGGAAAGATGTGACCACAGAAGACTGGAAAGTGGGGCAGAAATTAATACAGAGGAGAAATTATGACAATGAGGATAGTGATGAAAATACAAACTTGGATTTATCTAGTGTTTCTTGGAATGAAGGTGTTCCCCTGCATGAAGAGCTTTGTCATGAAGAAGATCTGAGTTGTGACGAGTGTAAATTAGCTGTGGAACAGTTAAAAAGTGTGGAGTGTGAAAGTGATTTAGACTGTGGGCTACACACAGACACTGAAAATGATCATCTTTGTAAAGAAAGGATATTTACCACGGGTTCAGAGGAATCGGTCGATTGCTCTTTAGGAAGTTTTCGGGACTCTGTACCACGGATTGGAGTCCTACCTACACAGAGTCCAGGCTTTCAGTTTTCCTCCAGTCTGGCTGCCATGGCGGTTGCTAGGTCACGTGACTTTGGGCTGACAGAAGACACGTTTGGTGACAGTGAGTCAGAGACAGAGAACCAGGTGATTGAGGACTAGTCCAAACACGTTACATTTACACGAATCTGACTCACATAGTCTGATGACTGTTTTACATTGAAACTCATCACATAAGTACATGTGCAGTGAAACTTGTCGAATCCAGACTTTGTGTGTAATGAAATTTTTGCCTTATATGATGTTAACCTCCCTTTCACACAGAAGGGTTACTTTGAATTATTTTCAACATTCTTTCAATGCAAATGTAAGTCAGAAGTTTTACATGCTGAAAATTGCCCCTAGAAATTTTGCAATAATAATGCTTCATATAAAATATTTTATTTCTAAAACTTTTCAAAAATTTTTTTGAGCTGTAAAGTTGCATTTTTGCACTTTTCACCAAATTATGTGGCATAGCCATTAAAACATTTTAAGCTGTTTAACTATTAAACCAAATACATGCATCACATCTGAAGTGAGAGAGGTATCTATTAAATTTATGTAGCAAAGATAATAGAATTTTGGAAGAAAAGGTTTTTTTTAATTCTTAAACCAGAATATTGTTTAATCTGGCCAATTTCTTTTGAACCGACAGTGCGCAGATTAGACAAATAGACTGTACCTCTGGTTGTGTGTAACATCTTTACTAGTCTGTAATATTTTGGGAATGTGCAATAAAAGTTGATATATACATTTATCATCTCTTTTGACTCTTTTCTTTTTTATCTGACATGTACACATATAGGAAATAATCATCCACTGAATATTAAACTCTGGTTTTATTGTTTTTTATGAAGTTTTTAGCTCTACTGGTCAGAGACCAGAAGAGCTTATGCGATAGTAAGGTGTCCATTGCCCGTCTAGCTGTCTGTCTGTCTGTATGTCTAGCTGTCAGTCCGTCTAGCAGTCTGTCTGTAAACAATTTTTCAAAACGCTAGTCCTCCTACAGTTTTGGTCTGATTTTAATATAATTTGACACACAGTCAAGTAGATTACACTAAGATATTTGATTTCGATGAACTGTGTTGCCATGGTAACTAAAAATAGAATTTTCTGTGAAATTCCTTTAAAATGATACTCCTCCTACAGTTTTGGTCTGATTTCAATATTACTTGGCACACTAGTAGACTACACTAAGATACATAAAATAGTGCATTGGTTTTTTTTATTTCGATGAACAGTGTTGCCATGGTTACTAACAATAGAATTTTCTGTGAAATTCCTTTAAAACACTACTCCTCCTACTATTTTGGTCTGATTTCAATATTACTTGGCACACAAGTAGACTACACTAAGAAACATAGAATAGTGCATCGGTTTTTTATTTCGATGAACAGTGTTGCCGTGGTTACTAAAAATAGAATTTTCTGTGAAATTCCTTTAAACACTACTCCTCCTACTATTTTGGTCTGATTTCAATATTACTTGGCACACAAGTAGACTACACTAAGATACATAAAATAGTGCATTGGTTTTTGATTTCGATGAATGGTGTTGCCGTTGTTACTAAAAATAGAAATGTCTGTGAAATTCTTTTAAAACGCTACTCCTTCTACAGTTTTGGTCTGATGGCAATGGCTTCTTTTTTCATCCTTTGTTATAAGTACAAACCAGTAGAGCTACAGCTTCGACATAGACTTTTGGTTATCAATAGCAGGCATTTTTATAACACAAGTTATAAACTCAAACTGTTTTAGTTTAGAGGTTATTATACTCAATACAAGCTGCAGAGTATAATGTTTTGGCCTGTTTCTGGGTCCTTTAGACAGTCCTGGCCCCAGGATCATGAGACTTGAGCTTAAGTCAAACCTTCAATCCCTTGTAAAATGTTATTATTTAATCAGCCTTTCAATATACAGATAACAATTTTTTCATAAAGCAATATTGAAAAATATTTTAATATAACATGAAACTCCTTAATTTCAGCAATGATTTAGTCCAAAAGAAAGATTTTGACTTTAATAGCTTATTTATGATGTTTCATGATCCTGAGGTCTGTTCTTGTCAGTGCAACTACTCCTAGACCGACAGAGTACAGGTAAATGTATTGTGAAACTTTATCTACTGACTTGACTATTTGGGTTTAAAGTGAAAAGTCTGTGCAATTACAACTGATAATTCAGAAAGAGGACAAGTCCTGTTTTATAATCATTTATTTTTTTTGTAATAAAATACATCACAAAAAAAGTAATTCTGAACTTTACCTCCATGCACTAAAAGATATGAGTGGACTGAAAATTGAAAGTCCGATAGAATTCAATACATTTGACACTTAGTCGGGTATTTACTATTTATATCAAAAATATGAGAATAAGTTGAATAACACATAAGTTTAGTGATGCACATTGTACCTTAAATATTTCCACTACAGAATAATTTATTACAAAGGTACTTCACTTCACCTTAATATTTTTCTAACAGTGTTCTACAGAAAACATTGACCAGAGCACCTGTTCCTGTATTGCTATACAAGTCCACAACAAGGCACACGGAGATTAAAGTCAATATCAATTAACAAAAACAATAAATAATATAATATGTAAATACCCAATATAAATATGTGTAGAGAAAATATCCACTATGTTCAAATATCACAGCTAGAGAAGAGAATTACAGGTTTAGGACGTTAGGATTATCAAACAACATCATTAACCAGACCAGGCTACGAGCAGCACAGAAATCCAATCCTGGGGACGACATCAATTCAAAATGAAATCTTGGATTAGACCGATAACTGGGAACATTCCATACATTACACTTGGGTAAAAAATACGACATTGTGTTCATCACGATGCCACAGTCTTCCTTGTAATGATGTTGTCTCGGTAAACTTTTCCTTGGGTAGAATCTCCATTCTAAAAATTCTTAGTACAAATTTCTATATTATAAATAGTGATGATATGAGTATGATGAAGGATGAATTCCCGCCCCCCACTGTCATCAGCTGGATTTTTCAGAGTCGGCCTTCTCCATGCTTTCGTCCTCCACGTCGACGTCTTTTGTCACAATTTTCTCGTGTTCTATGATGACTTCTGTCTCTGTAATTTTTTCCTCGATGACCCTCTCCCCGATTTTCTCGTCGAGCTCTGGGAAGGTCCCGCGGAACGTGCTGCTGGCAATCTCCTGTAACTCCTCTAACTGTTTCTGTTGATTGTTATCCACGCGATCCAGACGCTGTCTCAGAAGGCGAAGGTCCTCCTGGTGTTTTCTCTCCTAGAATTTAATGTTCAAATGTTAATATTACAACATTTAAACTGTTAACATTACGATGTTTAAACATTAACATTACGATGTTTAAACCGTTAACATTACGATGTTTAAACCATTAACATTACAATGTTCATTTCTTTTGAAACCAAGGTACTGTGAAATCACTTATTTTGTGTAGGATTAATATTCTTGTTATAGAGGCATGGAAAGACCCACGAATTGATGATTTTCACGAAATGTAAAATTTCACATGCATTTCTACTAAATATTCTTCAACTATATAATCAATAGGGATGTGCAATTTAATCGGTATATCACGATTTTTTGTTGCGTGATACGCATCATGATACCGAGACCTAAATACCAGTCTTTAGGTACATATTATAAGTCCCAAAATTATTCATTTATTTGTTCAATCTTTCAAATTACAATTACAGAAAGTATAAAAAATGTTGTAAAAAGTGAAAAGAACGTCATCTTACCGTACAAACATAATATTGATTTTATATACATAAAAATTTCAAGAAAGTAAAATTTTGTTTTTCTAGCATATTTTTTTAGAAAAGTAATGACTTTTCATATAATATCATTGTAAAAACTGCTTTTAAAAATATCATGATTTTATCGTGATATTGTGGGAAAAAATCGTGATATATCGCAATACGAAATTTTTGGCGATACTCATCCATAATAATCAAGTCCCTAAACAACATTTTTTCATCAAACCTGGAAAATAATGTGATTTTACAGTATAACATCATGAAACAGATGACATACTGAACACTCAGCTAACAAAAAATTGAAAACAGTTACTTTTACTCAAGGTCTAATAACAATTGAAATGGAAATGTGTATTTGAGATTTTCAAAACAAAAAGTAGGAACATAATAAAATGCGACATTAAAAGCCCAAAAGAATACAACATGAACAGACATAGTTAGAACAGGATTAATCAATGGTATTGTGTTCTTAATATAATTAATGATACTACTGTGTACAACAGTGAATATGTATATCTATGGATTGATAGTTACAAGTAACTTTTGAGTAATTTTGGTTTTATGCATATATCTGTATGCTTTGTGTTTAAACGTGTTCATTTTACAGTTTCTGTTGTAGAATTTTGTGACAATTGATTAACCATGGTTCTAAATTTGATACACAGTATGCAGAAAATCCAAAGCTTTTCCAGACACACCAACAACACCTTCATGCTGCGAGTTGAATTTTTTTTTTAAACAGAGAGACACAAGAATTTGAAAGAGATGATAAAGGGGGGATAAGCCTTGATTTTCTGAGTACAGCTGTAATTTATACATTATACTACCTCTAGCTATGATGTTGTCACATAAAACTAATGCTGAAAGAAGGGCAGATAATCATGAAAAGTAACTATGTAAACAATGATACTACACTAATACAAGTTAAGTTATTCTACAGATACATGTAACTAATCAAGAAATTTCCTATCTGTAAGATTAAGTCTGGTACAGTTAGCAACAAGTACAGTTATACAAGAAGTGTAAAGTAACATCCTCTGATCATGCTATTGAGGAATTTTCACATACAGCAGTAAGATAAACTTTACATTTTTCCGTAAATCTCTATTACCTGTTCTGTAAAACTGACGTTTCCAGGTAAAAATGTGCAATCCACTGGAACAGTGACATTGGCGAAGGACATATCTCCAATGGTGACTGGGAATACGCTGGACAGCAGGACTTTACGGAACTCGTTATGTCGCCTGTGGAGGTCCTTCCATTGCTTCTTAAGTTTGCTGTAAATATCCTGAGGAACACAGGCTCTGAAAGGTCAACATCGACATAAGTCTAGGTACAAAAGGTTAACATCAACATTAGTCTAGGTACAGAAAAGCTATTACCTACAGCACTGGCTTTTGAATTAATGATTTGTTTATCATCAAGTAATATCTGTACTTCTGACAATGTCATATTCAGCTCTTAATAGGCTTTATACTTATTTTCTGTGAAAAATTTATTTGTGTATTTATCTGCATTGAATACTGGTCTGTGACCTAAAATATACATGTTTTACTTAAAACAGACTCACTGTAATGCCTTTTTCTCCAATTCTATTTCCAAATTTTTGGCCTCTAAAATCTCTATTTTGTCTTTTAATCGCTCCACCACATGTGTGCTTTTCTTCTTGTACTACATAAAGAGAGAACATAAATCTAAATATCCAACAAGAAATAACATGTAACTGATGCAAATGAAAGCGATGCATATACAAAGACAATTTTAAGGTAAACAATTCTATATTTCTCACAAAGATTTACACAATTTTTAAAAGATTTTAACATGAGCCAAGAATGCAATAAACATTTTAATAACTGCAAATTAAAAAAATGACATTTGAATTTTAAATATCTGTACTGGAAATGTTTCCTAAATTTTTAAAAATTGTACGGGAATATTTTCCCTTTG